GAATTAGCAATTAAAACCCTTTCTACTAAAAACTGCAGTTCTATATGGCTTGCATCAGTGAGCTGAATGACACATTTAAGAGTAAAATCACTTTTCACAAACTCTTGCAAATGATAGAGTATAGACTCTGCAATTCATGAGACTATCATAACCTTGATGACTAAAACTCCACAAGAACAGTATGAAAAAAAATTGTATGCCAATGTCACTTTAGATGCAATAATTATAAACAAAATGTTAGCATACTGAATCCGGAAGCTTACTAATTTTAATATATTAATGACCTGCATTTATAGATAATATTGCTTTAATATGTGATCAGTTATGGCTCAGTTGATCACCAGAATAAAACTAATGTAAGTTTTCATATTAACATTTGAAAATCATATGATAGTCTTACATGCAGAAAAAACATTTGATAAAAATTCATTTATGTTTAAAAAATAGTAAATGAGAAAAAGTGATTAATTTTATAAAGTGTATCCTTATAAACTACAACAAATACACTTTAAACAGTAAAATATTGGAATGAAATTTAGAAAGACTGGAGAACTATGGAGCAGTTTGATGCAGATCATTTCCCTCTAGGGACAGACTATTAATGATAAAAATAAATGCTTTAACTCTATAGATTGCATTAAATCTGTAAGATAAATGTAAAAACAGTTTTTCCCAATCCAAGAGTATGTTGTATACCTATATAGTTTTAAAAAACATATTTCAATAGAATTGTAGCCTTTATAGTGATACCACACATCTTTTGTTGTATTTATTCCCAGGTACTATTTTAAAATGCTTTTTTTTTTTTTTTTTTTTTGAGACAGAGTCTTGCTCTGTCACCCAGGCTGGAGTGCAATGGTGCCATCTCGGCTCACTGTAACTTCTGCCTCCCGGGTTCAAGTGATTCTCCTGCCTCAGCCTCCTGAGTAAGTGGGATTACAGGTGCCCGCCACCATGAGCAGCTAATTTTTTTGTATTTTTAGTAGAGACAGGGTTTCATCATGTTGGCCAGGCTGGTCTCGAACTCCTGACCTCAGGTGATTCACCTGCCTTGGTCTCCCAAAGTGCTGGGATTACAGGTGTGAGCCACCACGCCCGGCCTAAAATGCTTTTATATAATACATTTTTAATGTTGATTTTATTAGCCACTTTGCCAAACTCTTATATGTGCCAATTCTTTTGGATTTTCTGTGTACACATTCATATCACTCGTGAGCAGTAACTTTTATTTCTTTCCATCCATTTATTTGTCTTACTGCACTAGCTAGGACTTCTAGTACCATGTTGAACAGATGTGCTATGCCAGTTTGGATTTATTCAGCAAATATTCAGTCCTTTCTATTTCCCAATAAGGAGTGCATTTCCCTGCTCCTTGATGTTAGGCTTGACCATGTGACTTGCCAAGATCAGTGGAATGTTAGTGGACATAAGCAAAGGCTTGAAATAGGTTTGAGCAATTGGGCTTATTCTTGCGCCTCTGCCATCACCATGAAAAAGAGCATGCCTTGGTTTGTCCATGGGTACCAGATGAATCAGAGCCACATGGAGTTGATCAGAACTGGTCATAAACCCATGGCCTGAATTTAAAGGCCAACTGAATTCAGCTAAGATTAGCAGAGCTGCCTAGCTAGCCTACTGTTGTGTGAATTCTAAATTTGTAATATTGGTCAAAAGATGTGCACATAAAACATACTGGAAGATTCCATTTATATGAAGTTTAAAAATAGACAAATGAGCCATATAATTTAGGGATGTATACTTAAATAGTGAATCTATATAAAAACACACGGAAAACCATTTACCATGAAAGCAAAGTTAAGATGGTCTCAAGTTGTGATCCCGTGGGTGGAGGCGGTTCTGCGGTGCTTGCAATTTTCTGTTTCTTGGGCTTCACTTTGGTTACCTGTTAGTTCACTTTGTAATAATACATTAAAATATTCATTTGCTTTATGCACTTTTATGTATATGTGTTATATTCCACAATGAAAATTTTCCCATTTTAACAAATGAAGACAAGAAGCAAGAATGATTTGCAGACTTTATATCTTACCTTGTTTCAAGTAATGGCTTGCCTTGTTAAACAAAGAACAGAGTGTGATTATTGCCACTTACTTTGCATGAAAAAGAAAAACTTTGTGGTGATTCTCAGGCCTGTAGGGGCTTTCACCCACCCCCGCAGTTGTGTTCCCTATCAGATGAGATCACTGAGGCTGCTATCAAAACACTTGGTAAATCCCCAGGTACCTTCTGATAACAGATGGATTCCCTTATATTTCCTTCTGTATGGGGGCAGGGCCTATGCTTGTTTTATGTACCACTGTGTAGTATACACAATGTCTAGAGCATAGCAGATCCTCAAATATCTTCCGATGACTCGCGTTTCTCTGTACCAGGAATTGGCCAACTTGCTTCCCTCCATTTGCAACTTCCCATTGCCTGACCAGGGTCCCAGGCACAGAAATGGTTACATGTTTTATTCCTTATTCTTGAAAGAAACATGCTATTTTAAGGTTGTGATTTGCCCTAGTTTGAATTCCCTGTGAATCAGACCTTGAGGAAAGGATTTGCACTTCATTTCGGAGGTGATCCAAGGAAACACTGGTAACGGAGTAGGGAACCGAGATAGGGAATAGAAGTCAGCCCACAAATGTTGTAAGCTAAAAATAAAATCTAAAGCTTCCCACTGACTAAAGGACCCCCTCTTGGCCAAGGGGACCCCAGAGAAACCCTCAAAACTGAATTCCCAGCCGTGATAGAATGGAAGGTCAGACATGCTTTGTTACATCCCCTCCGTTGGATGGTTTAGACACAACTGACCAGCATGAATGTTAAAATAGAGATCACAGACTGAGGGAACAGAAGCTTTGTGGCAATATTCTTTGTAGCATTGTAGTCTTCTCCATAGTGATATGACACATGTTTTGTTATATTTATTCCCAAGTACTATTTTTAAATGCGGTTATACATTTTTACAGCTTTATTTTCTTACTTCCTTTTGCTGGTATATAGAAATGTAGGTATTTAGTCTTTTAAATATTGATTTTATTAGCCACTTTGCCAAACTTTTATTATGTATGCCAATTCTTTTGGATTTTCTGTGTATACCTTCATATCACTTGTGAGCTAGCTGTAAGATGCCAAATTATAAACAGGACCTAAGGCCATGCCAGGCAGGATTAAGTTACGCACTCCTACACTTAAAGAATAAACTATGTTCTAACTGCCACAGATTTTTCTTTTTCTCGAGCAGCTAAACAAACACTGGCCTTGAGTGTCTGAAGCAATTGCAGCTTCACCAAGTGTTGACTGGCTCCAGCCCATTTTCCACCAGCCATAACTACAGTTTTAACTGGACAAGAGGATTCTAGTAGGTTTCTCCTGATAAGAGACCAACCACTGTGGACTGGCTCTGGCCCATTTACAGAGATGGTGCATTGTGTGCCTTTGTGTCCCTGCTTCACCTTGTCATGTATAGGGCCTAACTGTAATGTATTTAAATGTTAAGTCCCCACCCCAAGGTGTAACACGCATGTTTGTTTAACATGCATGCATCAGGACTGCCTTCATGAATATTCATGGATCCATCTGTAGCCTGTTGAATACGTATACTTGACCAACCCATTCAACTTAAATTCCTGTCTTACTCTTCCTTCCCTAGAAGTGCCTGCCTCTGGTCTTTGCTGGAGGATACGCTTTCTAACCTGCAGAATGACCACCTTGAAGGCTATAACCCTTTGTAAGAAATAAAGTCTCCTTTCCAAATGCATGAAGACCCTGTGATTTTTTAGTTAGCCATAATAAGCAAAACACTGCTGTGTGTTACTAGAGTTTGATCCCTCAGCAGTACTCCACCTGACAGTTGAGGGAACTGAGATATTTGTACACCAACTACTACCAGTTATTGGTTAAGGGCTGCACTGGGGCTGTGTTATTTTCCCTGCTCCTCTAGAATGCCACGCACAGGTGAGTAAAGCTGGCTCTGGTGGCCAGAAGACCCTAAAAAGGGCAGGTGCTGACATGACAATAGGAAGTCAGGTCAGCAAGCACTAAAGAGCAAAATGGTATGTGTAGAACATAGAAGATATCTGCTACAAGACCCTTTTGCAGGTAATGAATGGGGAAGATATGCATGAGGGCAAGGTGAGGATCCTCAATAGTAAATGTAACGTGGAGTTGATTAAAACAGAAGTAGAATGATGTTTGGCAACCTGTAACCTTCCTGGTCGTCCAAGCTGCCAATCCTTGTATTTGGCTTAAAATCAGACTGGGCTTTGTCTTAAAAACTTCTTTTTAATATGTTTTACTGTTTCCCTCTCTCTTCTGCATGCAGTTTGTAGGCATTAAAAAGGTTACTACAGGTGCTAATGATGAATTTGAATTTGGCTTTGCTGAAAGATGCCATGAAGATTCATTTTCATCTCAGTAGGAATCTCAAACTGTTCCTCTGTCTTCCCAGAAGTATCCTCCAGCTCTAAAATTACGTGATGCTAGCACAGGTGCCAGGACTCTAGTAACAATCCTGCTAAAATGAATATAGTGTCTTAGATTAGAAGTTGTTAAAGATATCATCAAATCTGGACTCTAAACATTAAAAATTTATACTAATAACATTCAGAGTAGGTTCATGCCTATGATTCTAAAGACCTGCACTTCCTATTGGGCAGTATTGTATTCTAGGTGAACTTGACTCCTACACCCAGGTATAGATCTCAAAAGACACACTTTAAAAGGTATTAGCAATCGTTTATTGAATATATTAACTGACAACTGTGGTTAATAAAAACTAATATTTTTAATAACTTCATTTTTAAGTATCTATAAATATAAACTGCATTTCACTCAGTTTCTTTTCTACCAGTTGGAATTGTAATTAAAACATGTTAAAGTTCTTCACATTCATTCACACAGTTGCACTCCAGAAATGGTCAAATGCAGTAGCTTATCTGCATTACATTTGCCAGGGTATATGCTGAATGTGTTGCTTTCCCCTTTTTAAGACACTGAGAAAAAAAAGTTACATGAAATAGGCATTAGTTTTCCTCTTTTTTATATAGAAAAGTCCAAAATCCTCTACCAAAATTCCTTTATCATTTTAGGTTAAAATAAGTGAACAAGTTTTGTTTGTTTTTATGATCCAGTCAGCAAGATTCCCACTGGTATGTCACATCATTTTCTTGAAGCTGATTATGTGGCACAGTCCATAGTCTGCCTTGACTTTGACAGTTCTCGTTTCAGTTGTTCAAAGCACACAAACATAATGACGTTCCAGGATCCGAGTCGCAAGAAGGAAGGTACCAACCTAGAAAAGTGCATGTCATCGTTTGATTAGTTTGTTTGAGATTCTTTTTTTTTTTTTTAATTTTTATTTTTTGAGATGAGGCTTCACCCTGTCACCCAGGCTGGAATGCAGTAGCACAATCATAGCTCACTGCAACCTCGAACTCCTGGGCTTAAGTGATCCCCCCACCTCAACCTCCCGGAGTAACTGGAATGAGAGACTGCACCACCACACTCAGCCTGAAATTCTTAAAGTGATTATAGCAGGTTATGCTTCTCATTTTGCCACTCCTCAAGTGAAGATGCTTAAAAGTACATATTCTTCATCTTTCTCTCCTCTGCTGAAAATAAATTTTCCTTTAGATGTCCTATATTACTTCAAAACAACACAGCCCTAATGATCACATCTATACAAATCCACAAATATCCTTCACTCCCAAAACATGTCTGCTCTTCTCTGACATGAACTTTTTCAAAAACTCTTTCCTTGTTTGAGGGAAGGGGGAATTTTTGCTTGTTTTGCTTTGCTTTCTGAATGGGAGGTAGGAAACTTAGAAGGGAGAAGGAAGAAGAGAAACCAAAGAAGTATTGAGTAGAGTCAAGAAATCAATGCTGTCTCAATCTTGACAATTCTTGTCCTTACAGAAATTGTTAAATGTTTAAATGGCTTTTATTGTTTAACCTATAAAAAACACCCCTCTGCCCCAATTTTTTTCCTTCAAGTCTCTTAACATGTTTCTCTTCACTTCTCAATGTGGGGTATTTTATTGCCCCAAAAAACCCACAAAATTACATTTCAGTAGCATTAAGTCTATACACATTGTGTGTAACCATCACCACTATCCATCTCTAGAACCTTTTTGTCACCCCAGAAAGAAAGTCTCTATCCATTAAGCAGCTCCCCATTTTTTTCCTACCTCCAGCCCCTTGTAACTTCTATTCTTTCTGTCTCTATGAATTTGACTACTCTAGGTACCTCATTTAAGTGTAATCATACAGTATTTGTCATTTTGTGTCTGGCTTATTTCACTTAGCATAATGTTTTCAAGGTTCATCCATGTAGTATTTCTCCCCCAAAAGATTTTTAAATTTGAAAAAAATAAAATTATTAAATGGTTAATGGTTTAATAACCGGTATATCCATTTTAAGTTAATTTTATAAAGAACTTCATTTGTATTAATGTATCATAAGTACAGATTATGATGAGTTGGAACTTTTTATAAAATGTGTATGATGCATTCATGCTTAATTTATAAGACTTGAGGAATGGCCTTACAGTTTAAAAAGG